GTCCAGGACTGGTCCAGGACAGGAGACCATCTGCCTCGACCGGCTGCTTGGAGGACAGGAAAATAAATTGATATATATTATAGCCCTTTAATTTGATCTTGTTTGTTCAGCACTATGAAAGAGCTTTATTATTAAATACTGGTTAAACTGAATGTGGTAGAAAAAAAATAAACCTGACGAGCCACTGGTTGCCATAATTCCCATTTTTCTTTAGTGGGGGGGCACACTTTAACTGTTCAGTTTCCTTCAACAATAAAAACTAGGATTAGTTTGTCAAACTAGAGTTTCCTGTTTCACCCTGGTTGATTTGTTGGAAACGAGTTTTACTGAAACTTTCATTGATCTAAAATTAAATTTTTGGACTTTAATTGAAAATCGGAGCTAAAATTCAGCTCCGCAGCAGAAATGTGTCGACTGGCAAAATTTTAATTAACATGTTGGGATGAAGTTACATTTACCACGGTTAGCTGTGGCGGCCATCTTGAATTGTTAAAATTACAAAAACATTGTTTCAGTGTACAAGATTTTTTGAAGCCAAAAAAGAATTTTTTTTTACTTTTTATTGTACAAATAGTGAACCTGGTGTTGACAACACTTTGTTTACACTTAAAGTGTGGTTTTCAACACCAGGTTCACTATTTGTACAATAAAAAGTTGGAAACCACACAAAGTGTGGTTTCCAACTTTTTATTGTACAAATAGTGAACCTGGTGTTGACAACCACACTTTAGGTGTAAACAGAAAAGATAAAAACTGATCCGTCTCTGATCAGAACTTCCTTTTAAAACCAACAATCAGGTTATTCTTTAAATAATTTTTTTTAATGTTTAAATCATTTAGTTTTTACAAAGAAAAAACAGTTTTTCTTCCATAAACCATAAAAACCACAGAAGCAGGAAGTTTAACACTGATTTCGTTTTATTTGAAAAGTCGTCATCAGCTCCTTCACAGACAGGTTTCTCCTTCAGGCTATAAAAAGTTCACAGCGACGTCACAAACATACAAAATATTTTATTTTTAACCAAATTCTGTTTTTCCTTCTTAAATACATCTGAAGTCTGAGGAACCAGCAGAAAACCTGCCGAGTCACTTTTTATACATCTTATTTACAGAGAATCATTGATCAAAGTGCATCAGAGTCCTGATCCGACCCGCCTCTCAGGGACCGGATATTTACAAAAACGCCGGAACCGTGGAGACAGACGCAGCATTAATACTGTCAGAGCGCAGGTCGGAACAAACAAAAACAAAAACAAACAAACAGATCTGAGACTGGAGGAAGAGTCACCTGCTCCTCGTCGGGTCCTGAGAACTGATCCTGTCCCGAAGGAGTCCGTCCCTGATCCACCAGGAGACGAGCAGACGCTGCCGGACGGCAGCAGAAACAATAAATAAATAAATCTGTTTCAGTGGTAATCCCAGAATAAAGTAGTTTCCTCTGAATGCACTTCTGAAGGCATGTGGTCGATGCTGCTGAGGACAAACGGGTCGAACCGGATCAGGACAAATCCTCCTCTGTGCTCACTACAGAGATCTGCAGAGAGAAGCAGCTTATTGAGTTTAAACTAATTTATTCCGTCAGTTTATAAATTTAATTTAATGTTTACGGAGCTCGTTTACAGATTTAGATTTTAATCAGAAAAAACATTTATAGATTATTATAAGTGTTGATTTTAAAACCTAAAATAGATTTTTCATCTTCCTGTAAAACATTTTACTGAAAAAGTATTTTTTCTTCACTTCAACCATCAGACCTGATATAGATCCTGTCTACAGTCTAATCTGACCTGAGTCACAAGAACCGCAGCTCTAATCTGTTTAATCTGACCTTAAAGCATACAGTGAGGATTAAAATAATCCATCAGGTGTTCCTCCTGTAAGGACTCACTGCAGGGTAGGTGTGTCCCACGTTGGCACCGTGTCGGGTGATGTCGATGTTCAGGTCGTCCTCGGTGGTCTTCAGGTAGACGGGGTTGTCGAAGTTCATGCTCTTCTGGTTCTTCAGCTGCCAGTTCCTCCACATCAGGAAGCCTCCAGCACCGGCCAGGGCCAGCAGCACTGACCACAGGGAGCAGAGGGGTCAGACAGGAGGAGGAGAGGAGCAGAGGGTCAGACAGGAGGAGGGGAAGGGAGCGAGCAGAGGGGTCAGACAGGAGGAGAGGAGCAGAGGGGTCAGACAGGAGGAGAGGAGCAGAGGGTCAGACAGGAGGAGAGGAGCAGAGGGTCAGACAGCAGAGGAGCAGAGGGTCAGACAGCAGAGGAGCAGAGGGTCAGACAGGAGGAGAGGAGCAGAGGGTCAGACAGGAGGAGGGGAAGGGAGCGAGCAGAGGGGTCAGACAGGAGGAGAGGAGCAGAGGGTCAGACAGGAGGAGGAGAGGAGCGAGCAGAGGGGTCAGACAGGAGGAGGGGAGAGGAGCAGAGGGTCAGACGACAGCAGAGGAGCAGAGGGTCAGACGACAGCAGAGGAGCAGAGGGTCAGACGACAGCAGAGGAGCAGAGGGTCAGACGACAGCAGAGGAGCAGAGGGGTCAGACGACAGCAGAGGAGCAGAGGGGTCAGACGACAGCAGAGGAGCAGAGGGGTCAGACAGCAGAGGAGCAGAGGAGCAGAGGGGTCAGACAGCAGCAGAGGAGCAGAGGGGTCAGACAGCAGCAGAGGAGCAGAGGGTCAGACAGCAGCAGAGGAGCAGAGGGTCAGACAGCAGAGGAGAGGAGCAGAGGGTCAGACAGCAGCAGAGGAGCAGAGGGTCAGACAGCAGAGGAGAGGAGCAGAGGGTCAGACAGCAGAGGAG